TGACTCAGTGAATATCTTATTAAGAGTGTATTAATTACAGAATTCATCTACAGATAGATGGAAACTTGCGTGAGACTCGTACTGGGTCATTGAATTGTAAACACTTCTGTATGGCATTTCAGTTTACTCAAAGGTTATTGTGCACTTCACAAAAATGCAAGAATCGGTGTGCATTGCCTGATGCTGAAGTACAATTCCATGTAGTGACAGTTTTCATTTGTTCTTGTTCTACTTGTTACTTTGCAGGTGCCTTGTCTACAAAAAAACAATGTTGAGATGGACGAAAAAATAAAATATTTTAAAATGTCTTACAATTTATGAATAATGTTCTCGAGTATATTACTGGAGTCTAGTGTTAAAGACATTGTTGTACGTACCCCATCGCAGCCTTTGTGTACTGGTGCAATATTTGCCATTTTTCAAGCATGTAGAACTTTTTTTTTGCAGTGATGCACAATAGAGAACTAAATATACACAAAAGCGGACCCGCATTTTTTACCATCACAATTTGTGATGCTCATGGAAGCCTTGGAAATGTTTTTCTTTCTTCTGTCTTCCAGTTTTCTTTTCAATTCAACTTCTTTCAATCACATTTTCTTTCATAACTTCATGTATTCAAGTGTCACACGATGCTTGCTATGTGCATCACCGATTGGGAACTTATGTGCAGCGAAAGTGTGATAATTAGCCTAATAGTCAGGTGCCTAATTTGTTGTCACTAATGAAGATAATTGTGGTTAATTATGTATTGTCTGTCTGAATCGCATCTTAGTCAGGCCTTTGTGTACTGGCAGCAGGCTTTTGCATGTAAGCATAGCATTGATGTAGAGAGCAATGGGAATTCGTGTAAGACGTTTTATCGATGCTCTGCTCACTGCACACTGCTCTGCGCCGCTGCACTAACATGAGGATACACAGAGATTAGTTTTTACTTAAGTTAACTTTGCAGCAGTTCCTGATTGCTTGGTTTTTGTGGAGTCTGATTTTGTGCATAGAGCACAAGTGGTTTACATGCCTCTCTATTTCTTTGTATTTGTTGGTTCCCCATTCTTGGCATCATTAGAGCAGCATCGGTCAATCATGTTCATACAAGGGGGGCTGCATTTCTTCCATCAGTGCACATATGTTAGCAAGTACAAGACATGTGAAATCCCAGCTTTATTTCCTACCAGGCGTGCGTCCCTTTGAGTGCCACCTGTGTCCCGATGCAATCAATCGGCCGTGTGGTCTTATAAACCACTCTTGCACCCTCACAGGGGAGCATCTCTTTTTTTGTGTCCACTGCAGTACATCTTTTTTTGTGCAAACCTTACTAATTTGCAGGAGATCGCTGGGCTGGGCTCCACCTAGGAGTTAACGGAGAGACCGTGCCTCCCGGCAGCTTCCTTGGCCTGCTGGATCGCCCAGAGTTGATTGTCTAGGCCCGTACTGAGCATCGCAGTCCGCCAACGCGCCCGAAGGTCTTCATTGGAGGTCGCGACCTCAGAACTTCTGATTAATGCTCGACATTGCCATAGGATATGGTCAAGAGTGGCTCTGTTGGTACTGTGCTAAGGGATCCTGGAAACACATCTGAGCCTGCACAAAAATGTAATGCTTTTCTATGATATTCATACATTGTGTGCCAAGTGAGTCTTCATAGACAATGTGTGCTTGGAAAGATAAACACTCAAGTAAAAATGAGGGTGGGAATAAAATTTTTGATGGCTAGTCTTTTCTGTTTTTTTTTTCACGGCACTTTAATGAAGACCAATAGATAATGCTCACAATGGCAATACAAGATTGCAATAAAATGTTGAAAAAGGCAAGTTTCTTTTGTTTTGTTCTTCATGATACCACCTCATTCAGTTTGAAAAGATAATGTTTTCGAAATGATTTCGAGACACTTGCAACATGGTGAACATGTTTCTGTGATTTTTTATCATGATTATTATTTCTACTGTTGCTGGAGATGTCTGTAACTTGTACGTAAAGCAGGCTTCTCCATGATGTGATGAAGTGTGAGGAGAAGTCGAATCGAACTATACAAATATGTGTGCTGGGATTATTGATCAGCTGCCAGCTCATAAAAAGGTCTGATATGTCGTTAAGCTAGCACACACAAAAAAAGCATTTCACATGTCATAACTACTAACACCGCTGACCAACACTCTTAGTTTTAAAATCCACATATATACTCGATAATGTGGATGGCAGAATCGCCACCGGAGTAAAACTGGTGTTGGAGGTACGGGCGTATCATTGGAAGGCTGCAGGCTCAGTTGCTGCCAGTGGTGAGCTATCGTTTCATTCGCTTCGGTCTCTTCACATTTATATAATTAGTGCTTTCTTGTAATTAATGTCGAGCCTAACAATGAAAGACGAGTCTTTCCCTTTCTTTCGTTCACTGTGTATCTCAGCAGCCAGCAAGTTGAACATTCAGGAGGTTTTTTCTGCGCAGAAAAAAACTTTAGAAGCTTTGTAAAGCAATTGAGCTACAAATTTCCCGTCTTTTATGCACAGTTTGTTATGCCAGTGGTTTGTTGACCTCGCATGTTCACATGCTTTCGATTGGTGGACATACAAGAAATTTCGGCCATGAATTCATTTTCTTGCCATGTAGATGCACGCCTGTCTGGCCATGTCGCATGACTATTGGGTGCGATCATACGGTTTCATTTGATTTGTTTCTTTTGGCGGGGCGAGCGGACATGACACCATGTCTAGTTGACATGCACAAAAACACATCCGCTTAACCCTCCGGGCTGACATTGTCCATGTGCTTTAAGAAATAATTGGCGAGGGTGAAATAGCACCTGAGGAATGGGAGTAAAGGAAAGGGAAACCCCCCTCTCGTCTTGGAACGCTGAGTAACTTGCTGCAAGCAACCGCTTTGCCTCTTTTCCATTGCCAGAGACCGCGTTATGCACATTGGCGAGGGTACACTTCGGGTGCCAACATGCATGTGTGCTAATTTTGCAGGGATTCTTTTCACTGGATTGCACGTCGCTATCGCCATTCACATCTCACGGTAAACTGTTCGCAGCTGGATCACAGCTCTGATTATAGCGATTACAGCCTGACTGTGTAAGATCAAGGCGGTGCGTTTCTTCGGACAGGAAGTAGCACATAGCGCAACACGTATTTTTTTTCCCTCCATTTCCTTTGTTGCTACTGGCTATCTCAAAGTGAGCTCATTTGAGGGCGCTTCTTAAAGTAGGTTGGAAGACAATCTGTTCTCACTGACGAAGTGCATCGAAATAGCAGGAAACAAACACAGGCCCCTGTGGCTAGCATTTTTGGATAGCGTGCTTCAATAGGCCTTGTGGGGAATACTGGACACACTAGGTGTGGAAGATGGAGTCACTAATCTTTTAAAGGATATCTATAAAAGTAACAAGGTAGTTATAAAGTGGGGAAAACAGGTATCCAAGCCCACAGAGGTAAAACGGGGGCTTAGGCAGGGGTGCCCTCTGTCTCCCTTGTTATTCATGATGTACCTACAAGGAATAGAGGACAAATTATAGGGAAGTGGACTGGGCTTCAACCTCTCTTTCGTCAAAGAAAACTCGTTGAACAGGCACTACCAGCATTGATATGCGCAGATGCTATAGTGCTAATGGTCGACAACAAGGAACATTTGCAGAAATTGATGGACATCTGCGGTAATGAGGGAGATATGTTAGATTACAGATTCAGTAAGGAAAAATCAGCAGTCATGATTTTCAAAGACAACGAAGGTAGTGAGCTTAGAATACAGGAGGTCACGCTAGAGATAACAGATAAATACAAATATCTGGGCATATGGATAAGCAATGGGACCGAGTACCTGAGGGAACACAAAATATATGTAACGACTAGAGGTAACAGGAATGCAGCAGTCATGAAAAATAGAGCACTGTGGAATTTCAATAGGTATGATGTTGTGAGAGGAATATGGAAAGGGGTCATGGTTCCTGGTCTGACGTGCGGCAATGCGGTCTTGTGCATGAGATCAGAAGTTCAAGCAAGATTAGAATTTAAGCAACGTGGCATAGGTAGGCATGCTTTAGGAGCTCAAGGGAGTGTGAGTGTTTGCGTGAGTCGAGGTTGCGCCAAAATTTCTAAGTATATGATGTATAACCAACTAGCCCAACAACAAGTTTTATTAAGCTCAAGGGAATACACCAAATCATGGAGTACGAGGTGATAAGGGATCGACATGATTCGAGGGCAGGGAAGCTAGCAGCAAGATAGAATTCGAGAAGCGATTGATAGAAAAGGGGGTGGAGCGTTGGGCTAGGAAGATTTTCAGCTACTTGTACATGAAGAATGTCGATACAAAATGGAGGAAGCGAACCAGGAAATTGGCGGGTAAATACTTAGAACACACCAGGGGGCCAAACCAAAAAGAATTATCGGTTAAGAAGGTGAAGGAAGCTGAGACCGATATGTCGAGAATTGGCATGATTAAGAAGTCCGCACTAGAGATCTATCAAACGTTTAAGTAGGAAATTGCCAAGGAAAGGATCTATGACAATACCCGGGGTAGTTCCCTACGGTTTTGAGGCCAGAACGGGAGTGTTACGAACCAAGACATATCGGGCCAAATACGAAGGGGTATACACGGTATGCATTGCATGTGGAGAGGAGGAGGAAACTGCCAAACATTTGATAATGTTCTGTAAAGGGATTCATCCTATAGTTCAGGATAATGGCGCAGAGTTTTTTAAAGCACTGGGGTTTAGGGACAGGGAGGGCAAAATAGACTTTAAGCTGGTAGAATTAATTAGAAGGAGGTTATCTGAGTGGTGCCTAAGTCAAGGCACGTGTGAAAATTAAACACTTCACTGCAAAGTACCAGTCCTATACTTCAATATTCAAAGGGAAAAAAAAAAGATAAATCTAGTTGTTGGTTCACTAAGTATTACGGCCAGGTGGCGATAGCCGCCGCCCGATCTAAAGGGTACAGCCGCATCAATCCATCTATCCATCTATGCGAGTTTTTTTTTATTATTATTATTCCTTGTTTTCGAATTCATGTGGTCGTAGAAGACGTAGAAAATGAAAGTGGGCGAATGCGCCACTTTCATTTTGTGGACTCGTCTGAGAAGTTCTGTGCGCCGTCGTTGAAAGCGCCAGCGAGGCTTTGACGCTGCGGAGATTCGCTCACTTCGCTGAGCATACTCGTCATCCGAGGCGTCAGTGACGAGTGGAGAAGTGTTATCAGTGGTACCCAAGGCGGAATCGTCGTACGCACACAACGGACGGCGCTACGAAATGTGTGTATTCACCGTCAAGGAGCTAACATCCTTCTCGTGATTCCAAGCAGACTGATATGTTGTTACTTACTTCTTTCCTTAACAAACTCTGCGCGTCGTAGTGTGGTTCAATGTAGTTTCGTCTTTCGAGCCCCGAGAAGTGTGGGCGGGTCATATCGAAAACGCTGGTATGTCATTGCAATTGGAAAGTATGTAATGCATTATTGCAGCACTAACTTATGACGCTTGACTAGCAAGCAGTGGAGTGTGCTTTGAACACCGACTGTAGAGCTAGGAATGCACTCGGTCAAAATAACCGAAACAAGAACACACCAATTGCATCCCGACCCTCCCCACAACCAACTATTCCCTTTCCTTTAAAACCAAAGAAATATTACTAACGTACATAGAAGCACTCGTGCAAATATAGAAGGCAGTCAGCGAGTTCTCGTGTCATGCGATCGTGGTGTCTAAACAAGATCTCCGTCGCGGAGAAATCGCGCATCGCGCCGGCACTCAGTGCAGTGTATAGAAATGTGCATTAGGGGTCTCCCCTGCAAGGAAGTAATGCTCTCTAAGACGTATAAAGACCCCTCTCTGAGCAGTTCCTCTAGAACTGCGTGTGTCCGCGCATTTACTCGGAGCGACAGTCTCGGAGTACATTCATATCCGCACAGAAGCGCGCTTCAGTGTGCTTGTGTAGCTAAGGGTAGCGGAAACATAAAAGATACCCATTTATCGCCAGCCGAACTCAGTCGAGACGTCAGCAGTGATGCGGGCACTACGAAATCGGGCCATCGACGAACACTGCATAAAAATACTGAAAAAATCTACAGCGGATCCACATCCACCATAGTTTTTTTATAGAGAAAGCGACAAAGTCTTAATTAAAAAAATATATTTACCGCATGTTTAAAGGAGGTTTTCAGGGCCCTAGATCAGCAAAAGTTAGGGATAAGAGGTAATGCAAAGTATTTTAGTAACCTGCGATTCCCTCAAGACATTGCCTGGATGAGTAACTCGGGGGATGAATTACAGCTCATGATAACTGGACACGGAAAGCTGAATAGTAGGTCTGAAAATTAATATGCATAAAACTAAAGTAGTGTGCAACAGTCTTGGCAGAAAGCAGCGCTTTGCCATAGGTGGTGAGGTGCTGGAAGTTGTAAAGAAATATGTTTACTTAGGGCAGGTAGTAACCGCGCAGCTGAGCCATGAGAGTGAAATAACTAGAAGAATAAGAATGGGGTGGACTACATCCGGCAAGCATTCCCGAATCATGAATGGTAATCTACCACTAACCCTGAATAGGAAGGTATATAATAGCTGCATCTTGCTGGTACTCGCCTGCAGAGCAGAAACTTGGAGGCTTACATGGAGAGTTTAGCTTAAATTAAGGACAACATCGCAAGCAATTGGAAAGGAAAATGATAGGTATAACCTTAGATATAGAAAAAGAGAGCAGAGTAGGTCATGGAACAAATTGGGGTTAATGATATCGTAGTTGAAATCAAGAAGAAATGGACATGAACTGGGCACGTAGGCAGGATAACCGCTGGTCACTAAATATAACTGACTTGATTCTCAGAGAAGAAAAATGCACTAGGGAAAGACAGAAATTCAGGTAAGCCGATTTGATTGAGAAGTTAGTAGGTATAATGTGGCAGCAGAAAGTACAAGACTCAGTTGAATTGCAGAACAAGGGAGAGAGAGGCCTTTGCACTGCAGTAGGCACAGCCAGGCTGATGATGATGATGAAAACTGTGACGCCAAATTTACCTCCTGAAACCTTCTTTTTTCATTTTTTTTCCCCCCGCTTTGTATCACGGTAGCTTTGTTCAATCAAATTTTGAAAGTTTGACCGGAAGGTTTGACTTGCCTTCATGTGAATTAGTTTATGAGTTTAGCCTTTTTACGCCTGCTATCAGATAAGTAATTAAGAAAGCAAATAGAGACACATCTGAAATTGAAGTCTGGTCTTTCTACAAGTTCCAAGTTTTTGTATCTCCTGCAAGTTATGAAGTGGTTTGCTGTCATTATGTAATAGTTTCAAAAGCGGTGCTTAAGTATAACAAAATTCGTTACGTAACAATGTGCTTATCATTTTATGATGGCATCAATCGAAAGCTGTATATATCTAACCAACAAATGGAATCGTGTTTATTTCGTACCGTAGTACAGGCTGGGTCATTCCTTGCAAAATGTCCCAGCTATTTTGACTATCATTTCATATGTGGTAGAACAAAATATTGCCTATTTCTTGCTTGAAAAACAGTTAATTTGTAGAATATCTTGGAGAGAAAAAATTTTTCGGTCACATGTGAGTTGTCTAAATTTTGCAGAATGTTGTAAGAGCGACGTTGGTTAAAAAATTCTGAGAGCATCTTTTGATGGTTCATTCGGAAAATTGATGTTCATTATAAGCAAAAGCATTTGTGTGAGGAGTTTCAATCTCAGTAATATTGCTCAAAGTTTTCTGCCATATACACTAACACAAATTTTGCCAATATATTCACTGTATGAATTTTTTCTCTTGTAATACCGTACTCTCTGTGAATACCCCAGTAATCAACAGTTATTTTACGGAAGGTATATTTGACATAAAAATATTCTCAGAGCACTAAAATTTATAAATATTTTCGAGGAAAAAAAAATGGCAGGCCTGCATGGAAAGCATGGCACACTCTCAGCAAAAGCTGGGGAGTGGCATTTCCAGAACTATTTTTTAACTCTCTTGAGACTGCTTCGGCAGATCTTGAATGATATGAATTTCACAGGATCACTGGATATATTCATGTCATCTGGAATTCGTATCACCGGAAAATATGGAAAATGAGTATGCAACAAAATATGTGTCGTGTATATTTTAACTTTTTGTGTTTCAGGATTCTTCCACCTCAATGTAACAGTGGCTGCGGTGCTTGGCTGCTGACCCGAATGTTGCGGCTTCGATCCGGGCTGCAGTGGTCACATTTAGATGGACTCTATAAAGGCAAAATCGCTGAGGCTCGTGTACTGTGTAGTGTCAGCACACGTTAAGAAGCACCAGATGACTGGATATATGAACAGAACAACTTAGTAAGTAGTTACAGCGTAACTGTGGAAGCAAAGAACAAGAAGTATTTTTTTGGGAGACTTACAATTTACCTACACAATCGTGAAAGTTTGTTGGCCTCCTGTGCAAATAGGAGATATCACATGTGTGTGTGGTCCCGAAGAGTCGTGCATGTTAGCATGGTGAGGCCTAGCGCCGTGAACAAGACCATTCGCTTTGTCTTCGTCTGGGTCACCTTTCTTAGAATGTCTCATGTCAGGACATGTCTTGCATTGACGTGGCAGGAGTGTGTCAACACAGTACAATGACGCATTGAAAAAAAAAATAAAAAGCAATAGAAGAGTCATTTCTAATTTAAACATGGATGCCCACGAAGGTGGATAAAGGCCTTCGAGTTTCATGCACATAATCTCAGAGGCTAGGATGCACTTCTGATCGTCAACTTGTGGCGCGCATGCCTGCACCTGCACTTGGGTTCCCGCGCGAGTACATGATTGCTGCATCTCACCCGACAGCGTGGGTAGTGTACGTTTGTATCGAAGGTTGTGGTGCGAAGATCGGTTCGCTACAGCCGTACTTCATTAGCTTGCAGGTTAATATAATAGGTCCTGGCCGGAATCACAGAAAATCTCGCGTGCCCCGGAAATTTTTTAGACCTAGTCGGATCGCAGAGGTTTTACTTTAATACGAGTACACTTGCAAGGTACTGAGACGTCCCCCGCTACGCCACTGATTACCAAAGAGAGGAAAGACCACTCAGCCCCTTGTCTATCCAGTTCCCTCTTGGCTATGTGTCTCAATCACTTTCCACATACAGGGATTCGTGCTGGGGCCAGGAAGTAAGAGATGCTGTGACCTGTTTCTGTTTACTGATCCATTAAATTTAATACTAACTGCAAACATTGTATACCCGCGTACATCAACCACTACACAAAATTATAACACATGATTTAGACACTCGCGATGTTCGACACAGGGCAGGCACATAAAGAAAGTAACTGCAACAATACAAGGGTATGGATACAAAAAACACATGATGACACAAACGATAAAGTCATTAATTAATAAAACCGCACAATGTCTCAATATGCCTCATCCCTTCCCGCAAAACTCGTTTAAGTAAGGGAGGTGAAGTTCGTCTCACAGAATGTCCATGTAGTTGGCGCCTCGGAGTTGGCTGCTCGAATCGGGGCCGACGGCTGGTTCTTGGCGTCGAGGTCTGATCTGTCCAATTCGTCAGCTTCTTCATCGTCTACGTCATCGTCGCCTACGTCGTGCCTCTCAGTGATTTCCATCTTAGCCGCCTCCTATCCCTAACTTTCATTCCTCATCGTACCGTCCTTGCCCCGGTCATCATCTCATCGCCTCTCAACGCTATCTCATCGCACCGTTATCTTCCTTTTCCATTCTGTCTCTCCACCATCTCGAGCTCATCGCATCGTATCTCTCTGACTCTCTTCGCATCGTATCTCTGACTCTCCCCGTATCGTCCCGTGGTCCCTTTTTGTAGGACCTCACTCCGCCCTACCGGGGCACCAAACCAATCGCCACTATCGACGCGGCATATTTTCTTCTCAGTCGGAGTGTATCATCTTTGGCGGCTGCCCCCGCGGCCTACACCAGTAGAAAACCCTCTCCCAAACAAAGCCGAGCAAGTAACAATGTACAAACTCAAGCCTCAGGGAGAGTGATGGGCGAGCCGCTTGAAGACACTTTAATTACGGGCGAACAATGGTCTCGATGCTTCCGGTATTTGGTGAGCCGTTGTCCAGACCAAGTCTCAACGTTTTCATGCAGCTCGGTGTCTCCCGGGAAATTCTCCGTAGCCGCCGCTTCTTCGTCATTTCCCGCCGTGGGCGGCCGTTCGCGCAGAACTCAGTAATGAGCCCTGGAGCCACGGAGGCTGACGGAAAGTCATACAGGACCCGGCACAGGGGGCAGCGTCGCATTCCCCGAACCAACAAAAGGTGCTCTGCTGCTCCCCCATGCCACAAATCTGAAGGGTGCACGCGGATTATCTCCACCGTACACTGTCACGTGGTCTGTAGACGACAAGGTGCCGCCTGGTCCTCGTGTTTGCGCGGGGGAGCCCGTGAGAATAGTAGAAATAATCCTTCTGGTACTTCACTCCGAATGCCCATTCGTTACACCGAAGGTTTTCTTTTCCTTTTTTTTTTATGCGTGGATTTCAGAAACTGAGCGAAAACATCTTGAAAGGATCGGGGTTCAGTCCATGTTTGCGGGGACGTCACAATCCCTTCATCTTTCAGAAGAGTTTTCCCAGCGAGGAAATTCAAACACGAGAAATGCGAAGGCATAACGCCTTCGGGTTGCACAGCGAAATTGAGACACCGCGGCAGTCTTAAGAATACGATATGCGAACACAGCACACTTGTGATTCAGCCCTGGCGGTAGCACGTCGCTGAGAGGAACCAATCTGTGATTGTCGCTGAATCATCACCCACCACGAAGCAGTTTGATTCCGTATTTCTACCGCGCACAACACACTTCAAACCTTCAGAATCACTGCAGAAACTCGTGGATGACGCATGGACAAAACGCACACTGGTGATAGCTGCTCGTCGGATGGTTTGGCACGCAGCGTTCAGTCATGAATGCGGAAGGCTCACTATTATGCGAGCACATCACGCACTTCGCCTGCGCTGTCCACTCTCGGCACAACCGAACAGAGAGAGGATACACACATTTCAATACACTTTCATTTCACACATGCACAAAATTTTAAGACCTCGAACATTTCAAACCAGACGAAAAGCGGGAAGGCGGGAGAACATAGGTCATACAGGCAGCAATACTGAATTACCCTCGCGTACCATCTCCTGCCTGGCCTCTACTGCACCTGTCGGTGAAGGAAAGGGACCTTCAACGTGGATTGCGTGTTCGGATGGGCTGAGAAAGTAGCGTATATTCTGTCCTATACAACTGTGACATTGGGCGTTGTACATCAATACCGATCACGACGCTCCCTGCCTCCTAACGAGGTGCGGCACTTCCGTGCTTTCTAAACTTTCTCGTTTCTTGAAACAGTCCCTTTTTCACCTTCCTTTCCAACAAGTGGCGAGATCTCGGCTACCTCAGATTCACTGACTCTATGTTCTTCCCCCATCATTAGACGTTAATCGATCCCAGGAGGTACCACTTACTCAGGAATCAACATCAGATACCGCGAGCAACATAAAACCACAATAACCGAGTGAGGCTACCCGCCTCATTTCAAAACACAATCAACAAAATAAAACAAGTGTACAAGCCAAAGCAAAACAATATAAGAAACTTAAATTTCGACAGAAGGTCTTTACTAAAGTAACATGCACAATGTCCAAGTAGAAATTATAAAACATAAAATGGCATACAACATTGCGGACTCTTATGACCCTAGCCGATCCCCGAGCGCTCAGCGTCTACCCGTATGCAGACCTCGTCCCCGGCTCCGAGTCCCGGACCTTCGTTAGATGGTCCGAACTTCCACCTACTCGACTCAGTCGCGGACTGGGGCACATGCGAAGCTATCTCATAAGACCACCGCTGCGCATGCCCGGGTTTGCTGCGGCGTACATCGAGTGTGCTGCAGTTCCTCTTTGGCCCTACAAAAACTACCTCGTTGCGATCTAGGCATTCCTCAATTTCATCTACTCTCTCCAACGTTCGGTCTACCACCGTGTCGAGCAAGACTCTGACAACTGCATTCTCGGAAAACCCATTCTCATCCAACTCCATATTTGTTACTCCTACTGGTAATGCCTCATCGTCTCGTGGGACCTTCGAGGTAGAAACCGCAGCTAAACCGTCTGTATCGGCTCTAGCAACCTCGACAACTTTTGTTTCACCCAGTGGCACTGGCGTGCCAGCATTCCCCCCAAACACACACTCGCCCAATGGCGGAACATCCTCCTTGATCACGGAAATTACATTAACCACATCCCCGCATGGCGAGCCGCGACTCGTTTTTACGGAGCTTGTTTCCTCGCGAATATTTACGATCGCGATTGACCTCTGCGCGTCACCGTCATGAGGAGGAGTTGCCTCTAGAATTCCAGATTCGAATTTTGTCACCATCTCCTTGTCTTTGTGAATGCGGCTGCTACCCGTCGAATTCCACTTTCGTCGCCGGTACCGATAGCATTCTCGCCAAAAGTGACCAAACCTGCCACAGTTATAGCACCCGCTGGAATAAGGGAGCTGCTTAGGGAATTCCTGCCAATTTTGTTTCACCTATTGTGTACTGCCAAGCTCTCCACAAGTTTTTCAAGGCGGTCAAGGCGGCTATGCATCTCATGAACATCTGTGTTCTCTTCTACGTATTGAACGGGTAACGAATGGCTCCTCAACACTTTCTCATTCTGTTCTTCCTTGACCGCTATGGCAATGGCCTTGTCAAACGTTTTCGGGTCTCGAGAGAGAACAAATCTGCGGACCGGATCCCTCAGGCCTAAAAAAAATTGCGAGAGCAACTGTTCGGATAAAATTTCGCGGCGCAGTGAAGCTTTCACCGGATCCTGACTATCGGAGCTCGCCAGGGTGGCGGTCCCGTGGATGCGCAAGCGACTCGCAAATGACCTCACCTCCTCATCTGCCTTCTGCCTCGCGTTTAAAAACCGTTCCATTTTGAAGATAAGTGGCTCCGTATTGAACCTCTTGAGGGCCAAATATTTGAACTCAGAAAAAGTTGAAGCCGCAGCGACGCCATCATCCCACCACGTAAAATTATGCGCCGCGCCTATCATCTTGCATCGTGCTATGCAGACCAGCTTATTATCCCGCCATCCACCCAAGCAACCAACCTGCTCCAAAATTTTCAAGAAGACCCCAATATCCGGACCTGTATCACCTCCCGTAAACGATGGAACCATGTCTGCTGACATTAACGCGCTCATCTCTATTGGGTCGTGCTCTGTCGGTCATCTTGGTAGCCTGCTCGTTCATTTTGCTGCCTCTCCTTCCCTAGTACGAGGGTGAAATATCCTACCGCTGCCACCACTTGAGACGTCCCCCGCTACGCCACCGATTACCAAAGAGAGGGAAGACCACTCAACCACTTGTCTATCCGGTTCCCTCTTGGCTATGTGTCTCAATCACTTTCCACATAGGGATTCGTGCTGGGGCCGGGAAGTAAGAGACGCTACGACCTGTTTCTGTTTACTGATTCATTAAATTTAATACTAACTGCAAACATTGTATACCCGCGTACGTCAACCACTACACAAAATTATAACACATGATTTATACACTCGCGACGTTCGACACAGGGCAATCACATAAAAAAAGTAACTGCAACAATACAAGGGTATACATAAAAAAAACACGTGACGACACAAACGATAAAGTCATTAATTAATAAAACCGCACAATGTCTCAATATGCCTCATCCCTTCCCGCAAAACTCGTGTAAGTAAGGGAGGTGAAGTTCGTCTCACAGAATGTCCATGTAGTTGGCGCCTCGGAGTTGGCTGCTCGAATCGGGGCCGAAGGTTGGTTCTTGGCGTCGAGGTCTGATCTGTTCAATTCGTCAGCGTCTTCATCATCTTCGTCATCGTCGCCTACGTCGTGCCTCTCAGTTATTTCCATCTTAGCCGCCTCCTATCCCTAACTTTCATTCCTCATTGTACCGTTCTTGCCCCGGTCATCATCTCATCGCCTCTCATCGCTATCTCATCGCACCGTTATCTTCCTTTTCCATTCTGTCTCTCCACCATCTTGAGCTCATCGCATCGTATCTCTCTGACTCTCTTCGCATCGTATCTCTGACTCTCCCCGTATCGTCTCGTAGTCCCTTTTTGTAGGACCTCACTTTGCCCTACCGGGGCATCAAACCAATCGCCACTATCGACGCGGCATATTTTCTTCTCAGTCGGAGTGTATCATCTTCGGCGGCTGCCCCCGCGGCCTACACCAGTAGAAAACCCTCTCCCAAACAAAGCCGAGCAAGTAACAATGTACAAACTCAAGCCGCAGGAAGAGTGATGGGCGAGCTGTACGAAGACACTTTAATTACGGGCGAACAATGGTCTCGGTGCTTTCGGTACTTGGTGAGCCGATGTCCAGACCAAGTCTCAACGTTTTCATGCAGCTCGGTGTCTCCCGGGAAATTCTCCGTAGCCGCCGCCGCTTCGTCATTCACCGCCGCGGGCGGCCGTCCGCGCAGAAGGCAGTAATGAGCCCTGGAGCCACGGAGGCTGTCGGAAAGTCATACTGGACCCGGCACAGGCGCCGCGGCAGCGTCGCATTCCCCGAACCAACAAAAGGTGCTCTGCTGCTCCCCCATGCCACAATTCTGTAGGGTGCGCGCGGCTTATCTCCACCGTAAAATGTCACACGGTCTGTAGACGACAAGGTGCCGCCTGGTCCTTGTGTTTGTGCGGGGGAGCCCGTGAGAATAGTAGAAATAATCCTTCTGGTACTTCACTCCGGAATGCCCATTCGTTACACCGAAGGGTTTCTTTTTCCTTTTTTTTTATGCGTGGATTTCAGAAACGAGCGAAAACATCTTGAAAGCATCGGGGTTCAGTACGTGTTTGCGGGGACGTCACAGTACCTACTGCATCCATAAGTCATATTTTCTGTCTAGTCGAAAGCACCCACCACGCCATTATTGATCATTCTGTGGACAAGAAAGGTACCCATCATGAATTTCAGGGCATCATGTGCACGTTGTTGATGTGGTTGTTGACAGCTGAAGAATTTTGGCTGAGCTCTTTTAATGGGTTGGAAACATTCAACGAACCACTCATTACGCACTTTGTATTACGTGTCGCCTGGGTATAAAATTCACATTGTGTGATGTCTGGTTGTATGATTACTCTTCTACCACGCTACCTTACCATGTTAACGCCAGACAATATGCTAGACGTTGTGCTTGTGTATAACCAGCATGGTTCTTTGGTAGATTACTGGGCTGTCACGGAGAGGATCCAGGTTTGAACCCTGTTCCCTCCTGAATAATTTTCTTTCTTTTTTTTTCTTATTTTGAGCAATAGTGGTTACAGACGCTGGTGGTGATGGACAACTATGGCGCCAAAAACTGCCCGTGTTGTGGACCTCATACAGCTTTCGCTGTATAAATCAGGCAATTGAGAGAATCTTCACTTTGGTGCACTTGAGACACAATTTACACCTCTTGTTGCTGTATTTTAAAATTAAGTTTATAGGTCAAAAACAAGAACAAACAAATGGCTCTTCTTATGTGGCAAGCTTTATCATTACAGTTTTTATTTTAACAAAGAATTTTTCGAAGTTGCCCATTGATGGCTATAATTCATTAGTTCATGTGGCTGATTGTTGGATGTTGACCGTTGCCATCAATAGGGAACTCCAAAAACTACTGTAATGGTCAATGTTGCAATCTAAGAAGAACATATTTGCTTTCGATAGCGGTACGAACTTGCTCCTAATTGAATTCCACGACGTCCTGACATTGCATCTTAATGTGAACCTCATGGTCTTGGCATAGAATAGGCTGTTTGCCTATTCTATTTGCTCATTTTGCAGATGTGCTGTGATGAATATATAACTGTGCTAGCTTTCAGTATGCCTTGTTTGCTCTTGCAATGCGCATAGGTTGATTTCAGGACTGGAAGTGGTACCGATAACTCTTATTGTTCTTTCATTCCTGATGGAATCAGACACGACAAACACTGTACCCTGCATACTCTTCTAGCTCAACAATTGACATATTGTGCTTCTGACTTATTTCCCTTGGTTCATATTGTCTGTAATTATAGTTGCTCTGAAACTACAACTTACAGTTGTTTTAAAGGAACAAAAGGATTTTAGTTGATTCACAAACGAAAGATGCTCTTTTCGTCCTCATCAGTTCTGATCAAAACAATTGGATATCTTTCAGATATTGTGCTTGCCAGACTGTTTCCCAATTTGATTAAAGCAATCATGTCTCAGCCATGTCAAAATGAGTGTGCCATTTTTGAGTGTGCCATTTGCGCTTCCACACTGGGGATTGTGTCTTGTTCGTTTATTTGAGTTGCTTAGATTCTAAGGTGTTGAGTAATATTTTAAAGTTGCTACAAAATGAAAAAGCTGGATATTCTATATTGTTGGACGTGTTCACTTTTGCTGTTCCTTCTCAATCTCATTAATAATAGCACGTATTTTGCTAACTTCACTACCATGGAGCAAAGTGTGAAATTCCTTTTTTTTTTTGCAGGCAGCCTTTCAGTGACAACACATTTGATCTAGAGCGTTGTAAATACTACATAATGGTTTAATTTTCCTGCATCCAAAAAGAAACTACTTGTTTCTAGCTTCAAATGTATCAGGACTTTGTGCCGCATGTAGTCCACCAAGGTGGATCAGTGGCTATGGTGTTCAGCTGCTCAACCAAAGGTCGTGGGTTCACTTCCGGCTGGGGTGGTTGAATTTTGGAGGCAACATGGTTGGGGTGTGTGTGCTGTTAAAAGAAGCCCACATGGTCAATATCTTTGACAGCTCCATTACGTTGCTCTCGTAATCATATCGTGGTTTTGGAGCATGAAACCCCAGATAATGATCAATTATTTCACTGCATGTTGCTTAACATTTTTCAACTTCATTCCTTCAATTGTATATTTTACATATTGCATTTCTCTAGCACTCGTTCATTATCATTACTGTAGTTTTTCGCAGAGTTGCTCAAAGTACTTCTTTTTTTTTTTATCCTTGGAAAGAGTATTTGTTTTACCACAGTTTACTTAAAAAGGCCCTAGAAAAATGTCATTTATGTTTTAAGTTTGTCGCTGTACTTGTAGAAATAATCTGCATTCCTGCATCTGTGTTTCAATATATGTACTATATTAGATAGGTTTTCATTGGATGAGCTACAGATTTTTATTGGATGAGCTCGATGTCAACAAAATTAAAACGTTTTACCCTCCCAAGTCTCAAAAGTTGTGTTGTCGAAATCATAGTAATTCCATAATTCTTTGCACATTCATTACTCTCGGACGAAGTTCCACGCGGGGGGGAGTGGGAGTGGGGGGACCGCATGACTAGTTACCACGAAATAACGCAGCACTATAAGCTAGAAAGGCGAAAGTACCCTCCGCCACACAACAGGTTAAATAAAAAACAGGCAGTTGCGTGGCGACAACTGCAAACATATACTTATCCGAATCCAGTTCTCTTTAGTCTCTGTTACCCTGATCTGTATTTAACAGAAAAATGCAAGGTTTGCGATGAAAGGGCGACACTTTCACATATACTATGGGAATGCTCGAGTTTAGATGAAAGCAACGATGAAAACCACGAAGAGGCAGTTTCGGACCGCAGGACACGCTGGGAGGGGGCTCTGCTCAGCTCCTCATTCGAACAACAACTGTGGGCCGTCCAGCGAGCCGAGGAAGCCGCCCGAGCCCAAGGGCTCGTGGCCGACGCCTAGGCCCGCCCCAAATCAACTTCGCTGGACTTCATAAATAAAGTTATTCTTCTTCTTCTTCTTCTTCATTACTCTCAGCAGTAGTGATGCATGTCGCTTGTCCAGCTTTTAAGAGCAAATGTCAAGTTCATGAGTCACTACGAACTATCAGAGCGTTCACCTAGATTGTCCAAAAGGAAGGGTACGAACACTCAAAATTTTGGCAGATCTGACAACTGGTGGCAGTCGATTGCATGGGAATCTCAGAGCGAGTTGATGCACATGTGGCGCTTTGACCCAACTCTGATGACAGAGATAGACTTCGCTGTGAGTCGACTGAACTACGGTTGCCATAGTTCAATGCGTCAGTCAGCCTCAGAAACAGCAGTTGTGATGCTGGACCATGTGTAACATTTAGGTATTATCAGTGAACCATCTATAACTTTGCATGTGTTGTTTGTCATCACCATTACCTTTTTATTTAATAGTTGTGCTGATCAATTGTTTCAGCGTGAAAAGCTCAGTTACAACACCGGGAACTCCTTCCATGTGCGCATAGATAAAAGAGACTGTGCAGTATGAAATGTAGTGCATAAAGCTATATTTACTTTCTAGCTGAAGTCTCGCATGTATGTTCTCTTAGAGGTGCAGCAAGAAACAAACTTTCAGAATGTCCTCCAATATGTAAAATAAGCTGTCTTCATGTAATAATGTTTGATTTCGTGGAATATAGTAATGTACACATCATTGTTTAGCCACAGCAGCTTTGTTGAATATAATCTACCCACAGATGATGTGCTAAAATGGGAAAGCAGATAGTCCAAGCAAGAATATAGTCCTTACATCACTGCAGATGTTCATTTCATCGATCCAAATTCAAGTACTTAATTGTATTGCCCTATGTATAGAGCTTGTCCTTTCAAGTGTCAAAATAGCTATTAAAAGAGTAGTCACTCAATGCAGTACAAAAAGTGCATTTGATTAGGAATTTTTAACAATCAAGTGGAGTTGATGCCAAAAGTGAAATTGTATTTGAGGGTAGTGTTTTGTTTGTACTAGATTTAACAATTGTTTGCATGCTTTTGCAGATGTGTCCATCGCATTATGGAGAAACGAAAAAGTCTCGTGCTTTGGATATTGCCAGCCAAGCATTGCGCCAGTGTCCTCTCAGAAATTTTCACCATTTCTTGATTATGTAGCAGCTTAATATTCGGTGAAGATGCGATTGTGATGGGGATGTGATTATGCCTGCAAACTGACGCTCGGGCTTGGTTATATTGAAGTTAGTGGGATTGGCTATTCACTTTATTCACTCTTGTTCAATGAAATTGGCATGAATGTAACTGATTTTATTGCTATGTATATGTTTTAGTCATCAGTGTAAGGATTTCGTGCCTGTCTTACAAAATACTGGTTCAGTTTAGGAATTTTTTAATGTATATTGTTACACATCACTATAGGCTGAAAGAAAAATTTTATTATATATTTATATAGCTGCAACACTCGGTAGTGACACTTTGATTTTACTGGGTAATATGTAAATAATGAACTGAATATAAGCATACAGTGGTGATGTGGCGTTCCTTTATTATGCATTTTGCCCTCAGAAACCTTTGGCATATGTTAACAAAATCCTAAAATAATATGAATAAGCGAACTTTGCTTATTTTTTGCGGTGTCGTTTATTAGTAACAACCATTTAAATTCTGCAAATTCTTTCTGCATTCTTCTTTGTCATGAAACGCTGCACCATTCTTAATTTGACCATTGGTTTTCTCCTTTGCCTTTCCTCTGATGGAGATAGTAACAACCATTTAAATTCTGCAAATTCTTTCTGCATTCTTCTTTGTCATGAAACACTGCACCATTCTTAATTTGACCATTGGTTTTCTCCTTTGCCTTTCCTCTGATGGAGATAGAAAACCAAACCGAACGCATTTAGGTTTTTTTAGTTTAGTGCATTGTTTTGTCATTTTTACAAAATAGTTTGGCCATTTTGGCATATGAAAACAGCTTTCTGTGTATGGATTAACAAATAGCAATTGTCTTCATTTGGTATAATTAGTTATAATTGTGGTGAAGTAGAATATCTACTCATGTGTATGGTCTTGTATGAAACATTATCTGCTGAATAGGTCACTTTGTATTCTGTGATATCATTATGCTTTCATTGAACCAGCACATGTGAAATGTGTAAAGTGTGATTGTGGACATAGAGAAACAATTTTTGGGGCAATCCACATAAAAGGGCTTGTGCTCTGGCTGTGTGCTGTTATGTCTCTTGTAATTTTTTTCTTTTGTTATATTTAACTTCAATCTCATGTATTATTTCACATGCTTTATGGTTGGAAGTGTATTTTGAATATACATTCATTTAGTATTACGGGAAATCAGAAAGTACAACTGATAATGCGGTGGTCTCATGCATAATCTGAATGCATATTACGAAAAAATTTGGCAGTTTAGATGCAGCATCGGAATTGCATCTATGTCATACTTTAAGCTATTAAAAGATATTTTTGGATTTCAACAGAGTATCGGCATATGGTACATTAGGAACTTTTGTAAAGCATGTTGAATGATTGCATGGTTTCTACTGCAGTAACCTAAGGTCCACATAGGCGAAGGTAATTGTGTACTTCATTTACAAATGCGGCAACGTTTTTTTTTTTTTTGGCAGGGGCTGCAATCTAGTTCCAAACAATGTGTTTCACATAGTGTTCATTTTCTTTCTGTTCTTGGTGCGGCTGTGCAGGATCCTCGTCTCCAACACCCCGTGAGCCGTACCATTCATTCGTGGACATACAAGGCGGAGTGCATTCCTGTCGTCAGTGTGCCTATGTGACCAGTCACAAAACAGCCATGAAAAGACACCTTTGGAAACATGTGGCCATGAACCCCTTCCAGTGCCACCTGTGCCCAGCTGTATTTACTCAGAAATGGAACCTCACTGCCCACCTCCGCACCCACACAGGGGAGCGTCCCTTTTCCTGTGACCAATGCAGTGCGTCATTTTCACAGAATATCACCCTAATTAGGCACATGCATATCCACACAGGAAAGCGTCCCTTTTCCTGTGACATTTGCGATGCGTCATTTTCGCGGAAGGATCGCCTCATTCGCCACATGCGCACTCACACAGAGACAGCGTTCCTTTTACTGTGCCTGGTGCAACGTATTGTTTTCACGGAAGGAGCAACTCGAGGAGCACGTGTGTGTTCATCATGAAAACACGGAGCCCTCAAAATAAGTTGCGATTTGCAAAGTAACATAATTTGGCAATCCGCAAGCATGAGAAGCATAGATTCATGAGAGTAAGGGATACTTGTAGAAGAGAGTAGAAAGAGAGGTTGCCTTTTTTTTACTGTATCATTATATATACACAACTGGGTGCCACTTTAAGGTAACACTGGCTCGTCAGAAAAACTGATGAGTTTTTTGATAAAGGCACTCGGAATCAGTCGTAGTGCGTCCCGAAGTGGGTGGGAAACAAAGAAAGTACCGGTGCAGATGAAAACCATGATTTTCAAATCAAGTGTCCCATGTTCTTAATGTTGAGCTGGGGCAGCAGAGCCTTTATTTCTTTTTATCCTTAATGGGAGATGGAATTTGCAGAAGAAAGTTGCAATAGTCTGTAGTGTTGGGCAATGAAATTTTTGCCTTATATGTAGGCTTTTATGCTTATATCAAATATGTAATTAGTTTTATAAGGTTCACAGTTTTCGTTTTATGCCATGGCTAGTGTAAAGTGCAGTTCGTTTTGGACAAACATTTTATGCCTCTAAACCTTTATGGTTCTGAGCCATTAATGGCTCACATTGCTCTACGTTAACTATAGAATGCAAATAAGTATCAATTGCATTTAAAGCATTTTAATGGTCAATGAAAATGGTAATGTGAGAATTAGCTCATATTGCTCGAAATTGACTGTAAAATGCAAGTAACTATCAAGAAAGTGGATATTCAACATTTTGGCAGGTGAAGAAAAAATTGCAGTGTGAATGTCTTATAGACCTTAGTCCTATACTAAATGCTTTTTTAGGTTCGTAATAATTAGGCAGGCAGTATCAAGTTTGGGAGGAGACACCCATACGTTTCACATGTCAAGAGTATGTTGGCGAAATTGCATTCTATTGGGCTATCAATTGCTAAAGGCATGATGTCCAAACTCTAGAAGTCGCCCAAAAAATGGATCTTGAGAAAAACACACTTTAAAGGTATAGGTGAAAGCTTGTTTATGCGGAAAAGATATGTTTTTCAAGATGATTTTCTTCTTTTATGAGAGCCTAAAAATCATAAGTTATTTTGAACATGCGACTTTCCAGAGACTCTAGACAATGTGCATTTTTAGTTTTCTAAAATCGACCTTGTGCTCTTCAAAAGCAATTGCCACTTATTTCTAGAATGATCACAATCTTCAGGTTTTTGTTGTTGTTGTTGTTTTGAAATTAAAGAAAACTAAACTTTTGGAAGCAAATAATAACGAAAATGTATAATTTTAGAAAAAAAAAACCTTCATTTTTTGACTCTCATCTCCCCTTAATTGCTTGTCTTTCTGGTTTTGTGCACTGGAATGTCTCGGTATTGTGATTGTACTTCATATTTAAAAACTACTATTAATAAATTATGAAGCATTTTTTGTGAGCCTGGTTTTGCATTCATCATAAGAATCGTACAACTGTTTCATAGGTTGAATGAACACATGGACTAGCATTTTTTATTATTCTTTATATATTTGGGACATATTGCCAGTCTTGTTTTTAGATTTTTGAGGAAGGACAAAATACTTATATTAAAGTAAAAAATGAAGAAAAGGACTCGTGTGCACCCCAAGTACTCACTTTTTAGTAGCATTGTAAAAAGTAAAGATGTTTACCCATGCATGTGAAACATCTACTATAAATAGGAACACTTAATATACGTAAGTCATGCAGTAATATCATGCTTATATAGGTATAATCATCCTCTCATACTATAAGGACATATTTAACAGTAACTTGTTTTAAAAAAACTTGCTCCGCCATGGGTCTAGTGGCTAAGGCACTCGGCTGCTAACCCGAAGATCGCGGGATCGAATCCCGGCGGCGGCAGCTGTATTTTCAATGGAGACAAAAATGCTGTATAGGCCCGTACATGTGCTCATATTTAGGTGCACGTTAAAGAACCTCAGCTGTTCGAAATTTCCGGAGCCCCCACCATGGCATCTCTCAATCATATGGTGGTTTTGGGACGTTAAACCCCACATATAATAGAATAAGGTTATTTAGTTGTACAGTATTTTGTGGACCTCAAGCACTTTTTTTTTTGCTGAACATGGCAGAAAACTAGAATGGCCTGTTACTAAGCTGTGCCCTGTTTCGTACAGCCACTGCAAACTGACGATTTGTAGAAGTCTACAAAACTACTTTCCTGCAACGTTGTTTTCCAGCCAAGAAGGAAAAAAAAAAAAAAAAAAACTCGCACCCAGACTGCTTTTTTTTTTCAACAGAATCGAAAGTTGGGCTAGTTAGATATGCATGGCATAACTGTCAGTTCAAGCGCACGAATGAACAGAAAGGAAGAGAAGGACAAGTGCTTATTTTTTAAAGATTTATTAGAAAGAGAAGAATATATGAACAGGCAATCAAAAAACAACGCATGCGTGTGCAGGCAAAAAGTACACCCGTGGCACCTCGAGAACACAGAGTAAAAGAAGAAAGATTATCTCGGAGCATAATCTAGAAAAGCAAACTCTTCATCGTGCAGCAAAACTGAAGGCTGGCTGATGCATTGTTCTCCTCTTTTCTTATTTGAAGAGCTATTGTCAACTCAGGAGTAAATTGATTGTTAGATTGAAAAACCACTTCAGTATCCTGAAAAAGAGGATAACAACCGCACTCTCTGCAATGAGCAGCGAGATGCGGTGCACCCAAGGATTTCAAAGAAGAATCGTGCTCTCTAAGACGAACATTGATGCACCTTCCCGACTGACCTATGTACACTTCAGCCACAGCTAAAAGAAGTCATGTAACAATGCCCTATTGCGCAGTCCACGAACTTTTGCTGTGTTTTATGCGACATTGCGGAAACTCTCTGCGCATGCGCGAACAAATAGACTGCAGTTTGCTTTTGGACTGAGAAAAGTACATTCGACTTTATATCTATTACGGAGTTGCTTAAGTTCATGCAATGTTTTATGAAGGTAAGTGAATTACTGCTATGCTCCTACTTTTTTACGCTTCATCACGACGCCCCGAGTGGTTCCCTTCAAATTTAGCTTTCTTAATCATGTTGTTACACAGTGGACGTGATGACATCATTAGGATACCCTGCTTGTACTAGTTTCCTTACTTAACTGTCAAAGCTCATTTTCATTCTGTGTTGGCAGGACTGTTTCAGAGCAAAACCCAAACTCGTAGTAACAGTACTTCTCTTTACTAGCTTAGAGTGGCTCGACCTGTAATTGAGTATAGGCTTTACGGATCTAGGACAATAATACCAGCAAACATGCTGTGGTTCGAAGACCAAGTTAGGATCTAGAGATTGCAGTTGCTTCAGATCCGGCAATTCTAAAGAAAGGCGTAGTTTCTTGCCTGTTTCTTTAAAAACCTTGAAAATATTCACATCTTGCGTAAAATCTGAAGACGTAGTGAACACAAAAAAATCATCGACGTATCTGAATTTGTGAATCGGGAGTCCTCACAGATGCTTTTGAAGTGCCACATCAATCTTTCCCAGAAAATTTCACTTAAAATCAGAGCTACTGAAGAACCTATGCATATCCCTGATCTCTGGATATAAAGATTACCACCCCCAAGCCACAAGGATTGACTTCAAGTAGAAGCTAAGTAATTCTAGAAAACTAGATACAGAAATTCCACACTTCAGGCTAAAAGACAATTCATCATTATCCTGCGCGATGCAGCTTTGAACGCTTGTTATCAGCTCATCGTAGGTATCGAATAGTTCGAATCCTCAATGTCTAAACTGAAAGCGCTGCATTTGCTAGAGCTATCAGTGCTCAGAAACTGTACCACCACTTCGGAATTACTGACACGAAAAGGATCCGGGATAAAAAGAGTTTCTAAATTGCTTTGCAGGTATCTCGAAACGTTTTGCCACGTGTCTCTTTCAGACACAGTCACTCTGAAAGGCATTTCTCGCTTCTTTGTTTTGACCGAAAAAAAATATCAAGTTCAGATCGCTTAGCAGATTTGACCGCAGAAGCTAACCGCTCAATATTCATGTCAGAAAGCAAAGAACAAGCATTTTTCTTTACTTTTGAGCACTTGCGATTTGCAGGTACAAAGTTCTTGTCGAGTGCTTTCACTGCCCTTTGCGAAAAAGGTGCCCTCATCAATAACAACAAAGAAACCTTCCTTGTCAGCTAGAAGAAGTTGTAGTTTGTTATCTGCCAAAAAATTACAAATTGGGCGAACTCTGTCCCTACCCTGTGGGTTCTTCCGAGTCTTAGCAATGGCATCCACACACTCCGAAACGCACCTGGGTCGCTCCTCTTTCACCACTTGCCTGGAAATGGACCATGCTAACCCCAACTTGTCTATTCGCTTGAGTAACGGCTCGAAACGAAACTTGGGACCAAGAACATCAAGGTGCCTGTCAGGAAGTGCTGTGGCGCTGAGATTGGTTGATTGATTGGTTGGTTGGTTGGTTTCTCAACACCTTGGCGCAACCCACCTAGGGGGATAGGCCATGAATGGGACGGTGCCTTGCTTTTTAAATTAATTCACTTCTTGAAAGAGATAGTTGGAATAATTAGGTAATATAGGTAATAATTTAATGTTGTTAGATTTCTAAACAAAAAAAACTTTGAAAAGAAAAACAATAAACACAAGAAGAATGCTATACATAAAAAAAAACTGAAGTTGTCTATAGTTAGGATTTCTTTAGATTCTTGTAACAAATTTATTACAGTGGTAAAAATGCTCCTTTGACTGAAACCAAATGTGACTGCGCCAAATGAAAGAATCACCGGAAGTGTCAAGTTTAAGGCCAACTTTCGTAGGGGTTCTTCGAGTAAATTTTTCTTTTGAATTTTCGGCATGACAAAAAGAAGTGCTTCAAAGATTCACTCTCATTATAATAAAGGCCCAAAAGCGACTGTGCCAGACCCGACCTGTGAAGGTAAAAGTTCAATGAATGGACTCGACAACGCAGCCTTGTAATTATTTCTTCCTTTCTTGATGAACACCACTTGTTCTTCCAAGGGAACTTTAGCTTTGGATAGT